GGTCCCCTAACAGATTGGGGCTACTTTACAACAACTAAACGACTATTCTGGTGGAGTTCACGACTTCTTCTCAACGGGCGAGGAGGTTGGGGAGCACTCCATGAGATGCAGTCAAAGATAAGGTGAGGGTAGACTATTTCCTTCTGCGATGTAAGTAAGGCTCCTATGCTTTCCCTCTTGATGACGTAGCCAAGCAGAGAGTTTGACTAGTCTTGGACCGTGTTGGGTTTGGTGGGTATTTTATAAGGTTGGGCTCATTAATTGGGATTGAGATTTCCTCATAAACTGGGCAATTTGGGCTTGACCCATCAAAACCCTTTCAAACCTAAAGATGAGATTCAAATATGAGATTCAACATTTAATGATATTTCATAGTCATATTTGGTATGTGCAGGGATACATGGCTATTATAATAATATATTTGTATGCAAATAATTATTATGCTCCTTAACCAATTTAATCTAAACATGGGTATGGATATATAGGGGTATAAATCAGTGTTATCAAAACTGGACCAGACTGGCCGATCGGACAATTCAACTGTGAACTAGAACCCTAACCAGTCCAGTTCCTTAGTTGAACCGCTTAAGGAAGCGAACTGGCTAAAAATAAAAAAATCGACCGATTTTTAACAAAAATCGTGAACTAGTAATTTTATAAAAACTAGACGGTTTAATGCCCATTTAAAAATTAAATTACATAAATAAATTAAATCAATATCTTTTTGTATTTGGGGCTTTTTTTGCCCTAAATCAGTAACATTAATGTTACATTGACCAAATTTTAGGACAAAATTTGAAACTTAAATGACATGGCAGGTAACTTGGGCTTCTTTAATTGGTGTCATGTCATTTGGGCCCCAATAAAAACTCCAAATAATATGTTGTCATGTCATTTGAGCCCTAATAAAGACTCCAAATAATATGTTATCATGTCATTTGAGTTACAAATTTGGTCTAAAAATTTGGTCAGTGTAGCATTACTGAATCAGTAAATCGCAGAAGACACCACCACCACTAGGCTCCAGCGACTAGGGAGTCTTTGACTGCGGTCAATGACCAGGCTCCAGCGACCAGGGATCTTCGACAGTGATTAGCCACTTCAATCAGCGACCAGCGACATCAAGTGACTGCAATCAGCGAACTCGAACTCCAGCGGCTGCGATCAATGCTTACTGGCTTCTAACAGACTGTAAATTAAGGTAAAACCTTCCTTTCATTAGTTTATATCTTAGTAACCAAAACTAAAATCCACTGTTTCAAGATGGGTAGTTGATTTCATTGGTTTTGAGTAAATATTAAATGGTCGGTGCTTCATATATGATTGTAAACAAAAATGGTCGGTGCTTTTATCAGACTGAATTTCATTGGTTTTGACTCTTGACTCTTGGTTTTGATTTCATTAGTTTGAATATTTTCTTGTCACTCGATTTAATAAAACTAAATGCTAAAGATAACTTGTTTTGATCTTGATTGCTCATTTTTTATATATAATTATTAGATTAGCATCTACTAAGCTATGTTTTAATGGCCTCTGGCCCTATGGCATGACCTTTGCATATTCGACCACTCACCTAATAACTCAACAAGACTTGTTATTAAACAAGATGTTTACTTGAAAATCATTGATTCTCGCTGGGATTGACAGCTTCACAAAAATCTGCATGCCGCTATTATTGGTTGAATCCGAGTAACCAATATAACACTGTTGAAATGGAAAAGCACACGCAAACTATCTCAGAGCTCTTAGATGTGATTGAGAGTTATGATTATGGAAATCCCACTTTAAGAAATAAGTTGACAAATGAGATGAATTTGTTCAGCAATGCAGAGGGAGACTTTGGGTGGGTAACTGCTATTAGTGATTGACATACAATGATTCCTGGTACTTAGAATCTTTTGAATTTTGACTAATTCAATTCAAGTAGTGTGTTTAGTTTATTTTAAATGTTATAATTTGATTGTGATGCATCAAATGCAGATGAATGGTGGTTATGTTATGGAAGTAGTGCACCAAATTTACAAAAAATAGCCATTCGCATCTTAAGCCAAACATGCAGTTCTTCGGGTTGTGAATGGAATTGGAGTGCATTTGAACACATTCATTTAAAGAAAAGAAATAGGTTGGAGCATCAAAGGCTTAATGACCTTGTTTATGTTCATTACAACTTAAGATTACAACAAAGGTATGAAATCTTTGTTAGCATATTTCAAACATTTTTATTATATTTCATTCATTGCATATTTCAAACATTTTCATCAAGTAAATGACGATATACAGGAATTACTTGAGGGATAGAAATTATGATCCTATTGAATTTGAAGATTTCACAAGTAATGCATCATGGATTTTAGAGGATGGGCCTCCAAGTTTAACTATAGATGAAGTAGAAAGTTTTCGTTTGTGAATTAGCTGCATGCAATATCCAACCAAACCTCAACACTGGTATGTTTCATTCTTCTTGTATTGTCTTATCACTAAAAGTATATATCTACAATTATTATTTGATACATCAATAAATAATTCCTCTTTTGGATATAATGTAGATGAAAATTTGAACTTTGAATTGGATGATGATCTTGAACATGAAGAAGGTAATGGGAGTGGAGGTTCTGGGAATGCAACTACTGTTGAAACTATCAATCACGTTGGAGCTGAGAACCCCGAGTTTGGCATGGATTGGAGTTCATGGAGTAGGAGTACTCGTTGGAAAAATGAGAATGAGTAGAGAATGTACGTTGTGTAACTTTTATCAAGTATTTGAGGAGTTGTACTTTTATTTTGCATGGCCATTGTGATGTTGTGTTTGAGATTTGCAGTTTATGTTTACTTATACTTTGGATGATGTGTTCTTATATAAACTTTTAACTTCAGTAGGCATTGTAGCTTGGGCTTTGGGGTTTTTCTGTTATGTACTTGGATTGGAGCTTTAAAGTTCAACTTTGATATTTGACACATGTGTTTCTTTTACTTAACTTCATTAATTTTATGACAAATTGTATGCATTTTAGATATATTTTATATTTTTTAGCTAAATTATTATGTTTTATATTATATATATATATATATATATATTTTATTTTATTATTATATGAACGATTCGACCAGTTAACCTACCGGTTGAATCAGTGAACCATTGACCCAGTTCCTTAGCTGGTTCGATGACTGGTCTGGTTCTGATAACATTCGTATAAATGTCATTTGAATGTTAAACTCATTAACCCACATATGAAATCCCCCCCCATGGGTTTCATGATCAGGCCTAAACCGGACTGGATTTCAAACCCTGGACTAGATGTGTATTTGCCAAACATGGGTTTAAGGAGGTTTATTCCCCAACTCATATTCCAAAATCCTCCCATTATACGAAACAGACCCTATAAAGCCTTCACGCAAGCAAATGAAGAGAGACATTACGGGCTGAAGTTTCGTAGACTTGACAATTCGGTTATAGAATGCCACTGATCAGGTGCAATAAGATAGAAACAAAACATATACATACAAACATGATGGGACATTTTCTGTGCTCAAGGGAGATGAGACACGTGTCCTCGACATAATGACCGCGGAGTGTTCTTTGAACGACATGTGTCCTCGGTATCTTATTCGTGGAGTGTTCTCCAAATGTCCGCGGAGTCCTTGAGATCTTGTCTGTGGAGCATTATCCACATGACATGTCACATCGCCGCTAAAGGTACCTCGGAGCTTCATGCGAGTGACATGTGTCTTCGGCACTAAAGGCACCTCAGAGTCCACGACATGTTGTCCGTGGAGTCCTCAGAGCACTATCCACATGACATGTCACCTTGGCACTACTTGGAGTATCCTGTGAGTGACACGTGTCCTCAACTCTAAAGGTACCTCGAAGTCTTCATCACGTGACACCTGTCCTCGGCTCCCAAAGTTCCCCAAGGAGACCTTTGTTTGACGAGTGTCCTGGGTGTCTAGACCTCCACTCCACCAAGGTGTTGGCGATCACCTTAGGACTTGGGCTATGGCGAATAATGGAGTTTTTAGAAAAGTCAAGAATGACGTCATCACATCAGAGCTGGGGGGTAACTTTTAATCATCAAACCCTCTTCCCAAGGTAGTCGAAATAACAAGATAGACAACCTGGTGACCAATAGAGAGAGTCCACAAAATACGAAGTCCAAACAACGTGACCTCCTGGATGACAAATGACGCAAATGTCCCAGCGCATGCGCTGTCACAATAAAGGACATTAAATAATCCCTCAAAAGGATGTGACACGTTTATTGCTCGACCGACTCCAGGAGGAGTGCATTAAATGCTTGGGGATCCCGAACATTAAATGCAAAGATTTCTTTTCATGTGACAAGAAAGACACTTTGCCCTAAGACTGTGCTCCAGAGGCTGTCTTCCAAAATGACCAATAAGGGGTTTTCTTTCCAAGGGACCCAAATGACCAATAAGGGGTTTTCTTTCCAAGGGACCCACCTGTCCACAATGATTACCTCTATGGAGGTATAAATAGTTCTTACAAATTTAAAACAAAGATATGCAAATTCACTCAAGAATACCAAATAGTACTTTCTTCTTCTCATCTCTCAAAGAACTGATTTGACCATCGAAGGGGATACGCCGGAAACACTCTGGCGCCTTTCTTTTGAGTGTTAGGATACATCGAAAAACACTCTTGTCCGCTGACATCGATCAGACAACCTTGAAAATAATTCATTACCACTCCTTAGGCCGCATTTGACCTTCCTTTGGGACAGAATCGTCACTTTCGAGGTAAATACGAGTTTACCAAAGAAGAAATTTATTTTTATTTGCATAAAATATATCACTGTACAAACTATCCACTCAAGTCCACAACTTCGGCCTTTTAAAAATTAAATATATAAATATCTCAAATATACACAAAATGATACAAGTAAGACCCAAACTCCAATTTTCCCCTCAGCAGTTTAGACCCAACATTGAGGATGGCATAATTATTTTTGCTATTTTTCAGAAAAATGAGAGAGGGAGACTAGTATCATTCTCATATTTAAAGTGGCCTAGTTGTCATTACTACAAATATCAGGGGAATGGATGTAATTGCACCAACTTTTGTTTAGTTAGCTCTAGGTTTTGTTGCTGCATCAACGTCCGACCGAGCGCAGGCATGGAGAACGAGGAGCTACTGTGCGAGGCAGCGAGAAATGGCGACGCTGACAAGGTTCGAGCTCTGATAGACTCAGAAGCAGACGTATCGTACTTCGACGCCGAAGGCCTCACTCCTCTGATGCACGCGGCGAAGCACGGCCGTGCCGTGGTGGTGAAGCTTCTCCTCGAAGCAGGCGCACCATGGAACGCCCTCTCTCCTTCCAACCTCTCCGCCGGCGACTTCGCCATGGATTCCGGCCACCAAGACGCATTTGACCTCCTCCTCAACGCTGGTTAGTGTAATTGTACCCTCTTACTCCCTTCTCTCTCCTATTCACATTCTTAATCCATGACATTGTTCTTCATTTTTTCGCATTTATCTCCCAAATCCATGCTATACACAGCTTCCCATGAAAAGATATAAGTGCGAGGGAGGTAAAGTACCAAAAATTACAACATTGATCAAAGTTACCACTTTTGAATTTTGAGGGTAAGTTTCAACTCGGAAAGCTATGGACGACCAAAAAATATTATGATTGATGATGAAAACACTACTTTTTTTGTTGCATTTGTCTCCAAAATCCTTGCTGTGGATAGTTTCTCATGAATAGATATCATAGCATTTGCTCATTTTGCAAACTAATTTTTGACCTCTGAAGAAAGAGAATCAATAATTTCAGTATCCTAACAGGGATACAAGCTGAGTTGATCCTTGGAACAATTGCAAGGAGAGAAAAAGTTGAAGGTGATTCTGAGGGGGACTATTTAGAAGATAGAATTACTTTTAGTGAGGATAAGCTGATGGATTCCAGCAGCAAGGCTATAATGATGGCTTGGGAAAGACCATTAATGGAGGCTCACGCAAAAACTGTTTGCTCAGGAGGTGGCCACATACTGAACATTGGATTTGGAATGGGTCTTGTGGATACGGCCATTCAGCAATATGCACCCATTACGCACACCATTGTTGAGGCTCACCATGAGGTTTATGATCGTATGATTCGTTGTGGTTGGGGTGAGAAAGAGAATGTGAAGATCCTATTTGGTCGTTGGCAGGATGTCCTCTCTCAACTTGAATCTTATGATGGTAATACTAAATTCGTTTGCTTTCTAATTATATGCATATGCATCTACATCTCTAAAAAATTTACAGGATTTTTAAACAGTGCTGAACTTTTTTGGAATCATGGTTGAATTGGGTCTAAGTTACTGCTGAAATAGGCTAAAGCTACAATTCAACGGGATTGAGCTAGGATTGACCCAAACTTGGGGTCTATGATTGATCCCAAATTTTGGTCGCATTTAATCATAATTTTGGCATGATTGAGACCATAACTTGATATCATCTCGACATAAGTTGACCTAAACTTTCGACATGGTACTGAATTGGTAGTGCAGATTTTTGTATGCCTACATTTTCCTACAAATAGCAGACTTTTGCATGCGTATATTTTTCTGATTATAAATGTTACTTTTGCCATGAGGCTCTGAGCTTATAATGGATGGAGAAACAATAGCCATAGCTTTTACCTTTAAATTTTGTGGTTAATAATATACTACACAAAGATTAATTTACAGTTTCCGTGTAGCCCTACTGTGGTTTCTTGACAATTAACTTCTATTAGTTGATTTTTGTGAAGAATTGTTGCAGTCTGTATGGCTCATACTTCCTTGATATATGTATATCAGTATATGGCCTCTGATAGGCCTGTCCTTCTTTTACCAACTCTCAAGACAAGAAGAACCCTAATGTATCTGACATTGTTACGCTCTAGAATGAGGCATCTAAGAGGTGTCAGTGGTGGTTATTTCCTATTCCCTAATGTACTAAATTGATTTCTTCATACCAACATCTACATTGTTAGTCATCACCTCTAAAATCATTGACTTGTGCTTGCAAAGAGTTTTTCTATCTGGAGCCATTAGTAGTAAATGAAGACCTAGCTAAAGGATTACCTTTCTGCGTACAAGTTTGCTACCTGCTTATAATCACTCTTGGATTTTCAATTCATGCTCAGGTATTTTCTTTGACACTTACGGGGAGTATTACGAAGATATGAGAGAGTTTCACCAACATCTTCCTTCATTATTGAAACCTGGAGGGATCTACTCATTCTTCAATGGTCTGTGTGGAGGTAATGCCTTTTTTCATGTTGTTTACTGTCAGCTAGTTTCTCTAGAACTTCAGGATTTGGGTTATTCCACCCAGTTGATACCTCTGCCTGTTAAGGATTGTTTGGGAGAAGAAGTCTGGGAGGGTGTGAAACACAAATATTGGCAGTTAGACACATATTATCTCCCTGTTTGTCAGTCTTTACAAGAATCCGAAGGATGAGTACTTATTTTCTGTTTTTCCTTTTTATCTTGATGTTGGATGAGTTAAGAATCCACATCTTTCTCTCATATTATCGAACATGATGGTTTAATATAGGGTTGAATGCTTAATATGCTCTATATATGAGTTTATGAGGGAGAGATATACAAAAGGGTGTTATTTACCTTACCACAAAGAGAGGCTGGAGGTTTAAATCTCATTAAAGAAGATGTGTTTATATGGCGAAAAGAAATTTGCAGTCACTAAGTTTCTCATTTATTGACTCTTATATCAATCTTTACGCTATGTTTAGTTAGCGAGAGAATAAGGAAAAGGCAAGAAAGAGAAAATCATAGAATTTTCTCATTGCTCGTGTAGAAGGAAATCTGATCGAAAATGCAAGAAAGAAATTGGATCCTACCAAATTATCCCGCGTATGACCCAACATGTACCCCAAAAACCTACACCTACATTTTTCTTTTTATAATTAAAATTTTATTGTTGTGCAGACTTTTTGGATGGGTTTTCAGGTGGGGTAGGCGGGTTTAGCTTCGGGCTAGATGCTGCATCACAGCCTGCACCATGACTTCTCGGGCTTCAGCCTGGTTGAATGAATTTTTGGGCGACCCGAGTATTCTACCCTATTTCGGGTCGGGAAATAATATGAATCTCAAATGGTATCTAAATTGAATACAAATTATGTAATGAATGTGTCTCGTCAATTTTTTTTTAGATATAACTCATTTATTCAATAATTCCAGATCTATAGAATTTTCCTTTTGGGCTAGACATTTGATCGTCACTGCTCTGCCTGACACATGGCTAGATCTACCTACAAAAATGGCACCAAAAAAAAATCTAATTGAATGCGGTGGAAAAATAAAGGAAATACTATTACGCATTTAATGTAATAAAAATATTGTATTATAGGAAGTCATTAGGTTTACGTATTTGTCACATGAAATGTAATCTATTACCGGAACAAAGAACGTCCAACCTCCCAAAAAGGAGATTTGATTGGACTGAAGAGGATCTATTTAAAAAATAATAATAGTCGATATATATTACTTTTATAATAAAGAATTAATTTTTATGTTTTTCGAATAATACATTTTACTCTTTGAAGAACACCCAGAGAAGTCCAAAAAAGGGGCATGTAGAGGATTCATACCGACCCACCTAAAACCTTCTCAATCGCCAATAGAGGGGTCAACCAGAACCACTGGTGATAGTGAATTCGATTTCCTTCCTTCCTGGGACCCACTTATGGGTTGTTTTTTCTTGGACCGTTGCATTTGCAATGGCCCACAAGTAGTTTAATTATGGATACCATAAATGTGTACAGCCCGTTTTCTAGCCTGGTGATCTCCAGCTGTATGTTGTATCTGGACTTTGGAGAGCTACGGTGACGAGTTATCTTTTTGAATTAATAATTATGATTTAAATTAAATATTCTATAGCTAGAGACCCGTATGGTCACGGGTTACTACCTACTCATTCCTTTTTTTTTCTTTTTACCAAACAAAAATAAATAAAATTTATGCATGTTTTATTATTCATGTTCTTATTTATAAGTTATTTGAAGATATCAACTAAATTTCTATATTCTATTATTAATATTTTTTTGGGAGAACATCTTTATTAAATTTTAATTTTTTAGAATAAAAAAACTTGTCATACTTTCCCTAATGCCCCTTGACATGTGGGGGATTAGGAAGGAAATGTCATCATTCCAATTGTGTGATGATGGCATGGGTTCTTCGTGAGCTCGTGCCACCTATTGAAAAGTTTTGTCGTTTTTGAAATAAAACAATTATTACTTTTGATTCCACACATTGTCATTTTATAAATTAGAACATAAAATTTTAGCCACATTTTTTTTAATTTATTATATCTTTAAAGAGACTTATTCTATTATTAAAAATATTACTGAAACTCCCTTCTAGTTTATATCTAAACATTACTAACTATCCCGATCATTAAACTATTATTTCTAACAAAAATAATTCATCTAAAAAATCAAAAATACCCCTACATAAACCTCAAGTAATTTTTCTGCATAAAATTTTATTAAAATTTGAATCGATTAAAATTTATTTTTCTACGTATTAAAATTTGAATAAATTAAAATTTCATTGAAGATGATTAAATTTTATTTTTTTAAAATAATTAAAATTCGAGCCTATTAAAATTTATTTTTTATATATTAAAATTTGAGTCGATTTGAACTCTACCCGAGTTGTTAGCGTCGATTAAAATTCGATTTCGAGTCAATTAAAATTTATATTTTTTTACTAATTAAAATTTGATTTGTTAAAATTTGAGTCAATTAAATTTTATATTTTTTATGTATTAAAATTTGGGTTGATTAAAATTTAATTTAATGTGAGTTGATTAAAATTTGATTTGAATCGATTAAAATAATTTTTAATTGGCTCAAATAGAATTTTAATTAGCCCAAATTTTCATAAATAAAAAATATAATTTTAAATCGGCTTAAATTTTAATATGTAATAAATCGAATTTTAATCGGCTCGAAGTTTAATACGTAAAAAAAAATTAGAAAGCAGAGGAGGTCTCATTGAAAATATGTTTATCTAGAGAGGGTGTAAATAAAATTTGTCCTCAAATATATTATGGACAATTTAATAAAATTGCATCTTAGTTAATGGTGTCACTGAAGATTTAAAAAATAAAGGTGGTATCCTTGAAGATAATGGTAAATTAGAGAGGGTGTAGTTGAAATTTTTCCAAAATAGAAAAATGATCACAATTCATAACGCCCTTCCTCTAATTGCCCACTTTTTTTTTAAAAAAAAAATTCCTGAAATGCGTGGATTCACCCTCAATTGTAAATATAATTTAGTAATAAAAAAAGGTGTTATCGTCGCTTCCCCCTCAATTGTAAATATAATTTAGTAATATTTCAACATATATTTTAAATAATTAAAATCCAATAATTGACCATTAGAAGAGGTTTGTTAATCTCTGAGGGTTGAAAGTAAAAAGGAAAAAAAAATCTCTAAGATCTAACATTTTTGTAATGCACTCTAGTCACTGTGGTGGAAAAAATATTTATAAAAAAAAAAAAAAGGAAAAACAAGAAAAAATTTGAAGGCATTTAATGATGGGTAAGGCTAACAGCCTTGGTTGGAGGAAAAATAGGAAGGATAAAAAATAGAGGAAGGAAAGTGGGAGGGAAGGATTCACTTTCCATTATTTGGTTTGAAAGGAAAATGAGAGGGAATGGAAAATGGAGCGGAAAGTGAATCCCTGGCGCCCACCAAAATTTTTCAGTCCATTTTTGGGCGGAAAATGGACTGAAAAATGGAGGGAAGATAGCATTTTTTGGGAATCGACTATTTTACCCTTCTTCATCGGACAAAACCCATTCGTTGTACACACAGAACACTTCACGGGAATAGTGTAAAAGCTTTCTCTCACACACACACACACAGATGGAGATCGGTTGATCTTATTGTTGAGTTTTTATCTGGGTTTCAAAAGCTGCAATAAAAACTCTTCTGTTCTTTTCCTATTACAGAAAACGAGTTCTGGAGAGTGAACCCAGAAGATTCCGTTCGTCTTCGTCATCAGACTCCAAAGCATCGGAAGAAGAAAACGGCAGGTATGTGTGAAAACAAACTCCAAAGCTTTGATATATGTACATAAAGAGGTAGTTTTGTTGGTCTATGCTGTATTGCGAAAAAATGATAATTCAACTTGAGTGGGTGGTGGGTCGAAGCTGGTTTTTTTCATCGTCGGAGCTCACCTTTCTGCCCAATCGATGAACCAGGGAGGATGTAATTAAGATTATATATGTTTATCTTTTCTTTCAGTAAGAGAACTCTCTGCGGGTTGTTTTTTATGCCAAACCATAGAGTTTTAAAATCTGTTTTGAAGCCGGATCGAAGTAAGTTGGGATTGCCCTGTTCTTGCTTGTGATGATTTTAAGTATATACAAGCTTATACATTAATTTCTTGCTGTTCCAACATGTGAATTGTGGGTTTATAGAGTAATTGAATTGCTGCATAATTGGTGTAGGCAGTAAGCCAAGTGACATTTCTTTCTTTTCAGATTGATCTACATTCAGTGTTTCATCTTTCTGGCTATAAACGATTTTTTTGCTTTTAGGTGTTAATGGAGTCCACTTTGAGTTGGAGTCTGTCGAGTTCAGCTTTTTAATGGATTTAAAAAATTATTTAAATTCAATTTGTTTAAAAAATAACTCAAGCTGAATCCGAGTTGTTCGACTATTTTACCAGATAAGTTTTTTGAGTTCTAGTTGAGTTTTTGCAACTCATTTTTTTAAATAAATTTTTTAAATTATTTAAATTTAACTCGTTTAAAACACGAATCGAGTTCGAGTTTGAGCTGATCGTTAACTAAGCTAAATATTGATCAATTTTTCTTGTGGTGAAACTTTTAATTAACATAGTCAATTTTCTTTTGGCTGTCAAAGTCAAACTAATTGAGAAAATCGAACAGAGTCCAACTTTGTTGCTGTTCTTGTTGCATACTTGAATTGCAGTGTTGATCCAATGTGCAAAATGAAAAAAATATATATAATTTTTAGTTAGATACACATTAAATAATTAGATGAAGAATTTTTTTATAAGTAAATTTTATTTTTAATTTTGTTTCAATAAATGATGCAATAGAACATAAATTTTAGTTGTCAAATTTAAAATTTTTAATATTTCATTTTTAATTGGAATATTTTTTGTCTAAGAATAATATTTTAAATTTAAAAATGGTTTAAATATTATATACTTATAAATTTTAAGGGTTTAAATATTATATATTTATAAAAAAAAATCATACATTTTGGTTTATTTTCTTTAATCTTATTCATGTAATTAGATGTGAGGTTATAATGGTAAATTTGGTATATATATTTTTTCTTTCCATCCAATACCAAACAAAGGAAAATGTATTCTTTCAATTTTTTATCCATCGTACCAAACATAATGAGGGAAAATATATTTTTTTTAATTTTTCATCCTTCTTTCCATCTTTTCAATTTTTCATCCTTTCTACCAAACGGACCATAAAGTATCAAAGTATAGTGTCTTTATTAATTTCTGTCATTAATTTTATATTAAAATAATTTTTATTATTTAATTAAAAAATTTATAAAATAAAAAATATTATATATATATATATATATTCTATACTATTTATAAATGTCAGCATTTATAAAAAAAATTTAATTTCTTATTTTATTTTTAATTATTATAAAGTTAATAATGCCCACATATTATTTTCATCTCATTTTTTTTTCTTATACATGTGTGACTTTTAAGTTATTTTGGACTCTTTTATTATAGTATTTGATTTCTAAATTCTTTATTTCTTTCATATATTTTTATTTCTTATACCTATTTCACTTATAAGTTATTTTGAATTCTTTTATTAATAGTATTTGAATTATAAATTTTTTTATGCTCATTTATTAATAGTATACTTTCATACATTTTCTATATATATATGTAAATAGAAAATTGTCTAATTGGTGAGGGGAGATATCTAACTAAACGATGGATTAAATACTCAAATAGGAGTAAAATAAATCAATAATTAAGTTTAACAATAGTTAAAATAAGAATTAATTATTCTACAATTAATTTATGATTCAATTTAATTATATATGTAATTTGAATTTCTTATGAAAAATTATTATTTAAATATATTCACATATAACGCATGTCGTGCATTATTAGTGTAATAAATTTCTACTTATTAAAAAACAAAAATATGTTAGTTTTTTTTTTGGGGGGTCAAAAAATAGAGAAATTTTTCTATAGGTATTACACACCACCTGGCTTTGCCTATGTGGTATGCACAGCCAATAAATGTCTGTCACGTCACTATTTTGTCAGAAATTTTTTAAAGAAGCCAACTTAGCCATCCAATTGTGTTTATAGACGGAAAGTTAACAGAGCAAACTCCAAAAAAAAAAAAAAAGGCCTGTCTTTTTGACTCTTTTCAAATTTCAAAAATTTTAAAATTCAAAATTTAACTCTCCATTACCATTTCTTTCTCTCTCTGTAAATCGTTCCTAACCTCTATTCCCGGAAACACTATCTCCACCACTCGGGACCCCGGTGAGTCCGAGGGCAAAACAATAATATGGCTCCCAGATGATAAAGTATTCTCTGATAAGTACCCATTTGTGATCGTCGGAGTTTCCATAAGCTCCACTGAATTATCTCCATAAGCTCCACTGAATTATCCTCAGTCGGGACGACACCATTTGATTTGGTCTCAATTTTCTTCCTGAAATTAGAAGATATCGATTGTTTAATACTAAAATCTCAAAATTGGGGCTTGAAGTGGACGAAAAAACTAGGGTTTTGATTTCCGATGAAATTGAACTTGGCGTTCATGGTCATGGGGCTAGAACTCGGCGCTTTGGTTATCTTACTCTCTCTCAAGGTGTGTGGGTGGAGGAACAGATAAGTAATCTTTTTTCTCTCTAAAATGAGAAATCATGTAAGGGCAATTGTTGGCCATGAATAAATCAAAAAATTAAAGGTGTTTAGTATTTTTTTTTTTACAAGTTGATTCAAGAGTTCAGTATTTTTCATGAAGAATTTCAGAGTTTCAGAGAAATGGAAACAGAGAGAAGAACAAGATGAAGACAGATGTAATTTTTTATCTCTGACTAATTGCAAATGGTGTTAGTTGGCGATGGCAGTAGACTTTTATATATGAAATGAAGGAGAAAATTGTATTTGTTATTATTTTGTCCATGGTATTGTTTAATCAGAATATGGATTTGCTGAACATGGACTTGAATGTAATCAGATCTGGTTTTTTTCTTTTTTCATTTATCTGCTAGGAAGTTCTTATAAATGGAACATTGTTAGTTTGCTGTAAGTGGGTGTTATTTGATTTTCACTAATTGTGTTGTTGATTTATATGTTATTGTTATTGAAATCTGGTTTAATGATATGTATGCGATTTATATATTAATTTATTATAGTTTTAATTGTGGATAGAATTATTGAAATGGATAAATGAAATCCATATGGGATTGTAAATTCGTGTTGAGCAATAGCAGTTAAATAAAAAATAAAGTATTTAGTTCATCAAAATCATTTCATTACTGATTCCCAAAAGTATAAACAAAATTTCTCATTGATTCTCATAGATAATTATTATGATTTTTCTCTTTATTGGTCAGATAGGGTCTAATTATTAAATTAACAAAATATGGAGTGTGATTGACTAGCTAATGAAAGATTAAATGTAAAGTATGAGATTAAAAGAGATTAGCAGTGGTGTTAGTATAAATAATCAAGGGTGGTGAGTCATAGAATACACTTTTCGTAACCAAAGGCCTCTTGAAGTGCATACCACATAGCACTATGTTCAATTACTACTAATAATATTTTTGGCCAAAATTACCAAAAAAAGCCTATCATGTAATCAAATCTTGCAAAACTGGTAGAATGATTGCCTATACATGCTCATTTCTCTATCTCGAAAACCTGAACAACAATAAGGCATTTTGCTACAAATAGGAGAGGGGAAAAAAGGAACAAAAAATCCCCCAAAAATATTTTGTTAAATAATTTACAGACTATTTCATCTTCAACAAGATTAATTAAGCAAACAAAAAGTTCAACTAATGGCTTCAACCTACTTTGTATATGTATGTATACTGGAAAACAGTTTCTTTGCGTAGCGGCCACAAATTAGTCTCCTCTGCCCACCCTTGATGAGGCAGAATGAAGGAAGCAGTTGATTGTTGATACACAAAATTAATCTTCTGCTCTATGTTTCTTAGATATTTTTGAACCCGGAACAAAGTCATCATATGATCCATCATTACAAGCTTTATACTCCATCTTGTGCTTCTTGGACTGCTTTGACATAACTGTAGATTTAGATTCTGGTGGCAGTGTCGTCTTCTTCGTTGAAACAGAGGAGGAAGAGGAAGATGTTTTCCTTTTGACAGGAATAGTTTTAGCATTTTTCTTTATGGCACAACAACTTTTATTGGCGAATCTAGCTTATGCTGTTGAATCCTTTTTTTTTTCCTCTTGAGAACTTCCTTTGCCACCTCCTTGGAGAGTAAACCAGACTCCATCATCCTACAATCACTTTGGAGTCAACTTTATTTCAAAATCACGGCTGAACATACGTGATAGTGATAACTGATGCAAGAAACAAAGCTAAGGTAGCTCAATTGAATAAAACTACAGCAAGTCCTAGAATATTGAATAATAAAAGCTTTAAGCAGACTTAAATTAAATTGAATACTAAAAGTTCAAACACTCAAATCAATTGAATAGAAATGTTTCACATAATGTCTTATATGCACATATTATACAAAACATCCATCAACTTTGGTGAAAATGATCAAAGAGTATACCAACAAGTGCTAGAATCAATCTACGAACAAAAGACATGCAGAGTATAGAACCTCACACTACAAAGGGCTTATCATTCACATGCCAAACATATTGAAAGAATCTTTTTTATTTGGGAGAATAAGCAAAATAGAATAATTTCTTACCAGAAAGCTGCCATTTCGCTATTGGGTGCTTGTTTATATAAAGATTCATAGAAAATCCTCACTGGGTGTCTTTGGAAAAAAGAGAATTGCAACACACCATTACTCAAATAGTCCCAAATTAGTTCAAACTAACACACATAACATAATTCAAGGAACATTTTAACATACTTCATCATGAGGGTCTTGTTTATGACCAGGCAAATCACACTTCTTCCTCTTCCTTTTCTTATGCCTTTGTTTAGCCTTTTTGGCCTTTTTCTTCTTTTTCTCCTCCTCCTCCATCTTCTTCTTTTTGTGCAACTTTAACCCCAACCCACAACAAATTCAAGAGCCAAACACCAAGACAACACATATACTAACAACCAATGATTAATTTCTAAAACAGAGTAAACCCAAGATAAAAAAAAGAACGTATAACTAATCTTGCTTGAGCCTTTCTTAGTGGTTGTTTCAAAAATATAGACTGTTTCCTCTTTCTTCACTTTCCGTTCCTCTTTCTTCACTTTACCTTCCCTGTGGGAGCCAGAACTGGGTTTGGCATGGTCGAGTTTTTTCTTGCGGTTTTCAAACACAGGACCGGGGTTTTCTTCGTCTTCCTCAACCTCCTCTTTCTTTACACGTTTTGAATGTTTAGAATGCAATTTATTTTTTAGGGTTTAAGTCGGGTAGAAATTGCAGAAAATGAATGAATTTGGTGATACTGTGAAAGCTCCAAAAGCAGAGTGAAGGAAGTAAGAGAGAGACAGAGAGAGTTTTGGAATGTCTTTGGATCCATATATGGAGAAATTCACTGGCGTCCCGGGTGGTGGAGAGAGTGTTTCCGGGTATGGAGGTGAGGAAAGATTTAGAGAGAGAAAGACAAAAAAATGGTAATGGAGAATTAGGTTTTGAATTTTAGAATTTTTAAAATTTGGAAAAGGTAAAAAGGGATATGCATTTTTTTTTTAGAGTTTGTTTTGTTAATTTTTTGTCCATAATCACAATTGAATGACTGAGTTGACATCTTTGATAAAATTTCTGATAAAACAGTGACAAAATAGTGATGTGAAAGACATTTATCGCCCGTGCATACCACATGGGCAAAGTCAGGTGATGCATAATACCCATAGAAAAATTTCTCCAAAAAGTAGATTACGGTGGGACCCGAGAGTGGCACACCCATCCATAAAACCGTGTCCTGCTGTTTCGTGTGGTTTTCGTTTTGCAGCCCTTTTTTTTGTATTTATAGTCTTGGATCATCTTATCGCACCCAGAAACCCAGGGCAGAGGCAAAACTTCAATTTAGGGTTTTCACCGGGAGAGATAACAGCAGCAGAAGCAACCATGGGTGGAGGCAACGGCCAGAAGGCTAAGATGGCCCGTGAGAAGAACTTGGAGAAATCGAAAGCTGCCAAGGGTACTTCTCACAAATTCTCTATCTCTAAGTATCTTCTATCCTTAGGGTTTTCTTTCCTTGCAGTCTTGATATCGTTTTTGTTCAAAATATTTCTGAGATCAGTGGATTTTGCATCAGAATTGACCTGATCAACGGCCTGATGTCTACGCAGGAAGTCAGCTTGATTCCAACAAGAAGGCCATGACCATACAGGTTTGATTTCTTCTTCTTTTTTTTTTTCTGCTTGTTAAATTAATTCAACTTTATTTGTGTTGTGATGAAATTTGTTGTAGTCACTGCTACACAATTTTCTTCAGGTTGAGTTTTTTTAGGGTTCGATTATCCCCCCTGACAAAAAAAAAAAGAAAGAATAAAATAAGAAAAGGTTTTATTTCAAATTATCGCTTATTTGCAATTGTAATAGCCCCAAATTGCTCAAAAGGATTGTTTTGGGCATTTTTAGATTCTTTCACGATTGACGGGTTTTAGATGAATCCATGATTAGGTAGGAACCTTGTTTTTCTTGGAGAACAATAGAAATTGAACAAGAGAGGTGTCGTTGATTAAAACGTTGTTTTGTTAAATAGAATGGCGGTGTCACTGTTTAAATCAATAACAGCTCTGCAATTAAAAATTAACAGCAGAGGAGCCGGATCTACAAAGGAGTGGTGTTCACGAGCTTGTGGTTTTCGATTTATTTTCTGGCTTGACTGTGTTTCCTTGTCTTTGACCTGTGTATGGTTTCTAGGTATATACATCCAGTCAAGGGCGGAGGGAGGTTAGGGCCAGGGGTACGTCCCCCCCCCCCCCCCAAAAAAAAATAATTTTTTTTATTTAAGTATATATATATATTATATATTTGTATAATATATTATTTGTGCACACCCAAAATTTAAGATAAAAATATTAGGCTTATATTATCTAAAATCTAAGATAAATATATTAGGCCCACATTATTTACTCAAAAGAATTAAAAAATTAAGTCCATTTAAAATAAAAAATTTGAGCCCAATACTATCTACCAAAACTTATTAAAAAATTAAATCTTTGACCTATCACAATTCACTCAAACCTATTAAAAAAATAAAACTTTTGGTCCACCATTAAAAAACAACGTTTTTGGCCCACTTGACAAACATTAGCAACACATTTTGGACATGTTATGTATATAAAGACCAAGGTGATAAAATGATGGTGTATATAAAAAATAATAAAGTTGTTAAGCAAAGGTTTCAAAGTATGAAAATTCACCGGAGTCAATTGTAAATGATTTTAATTAGCCTACATTTTGTAAAAAAAAAAAATTTGTGTTGTTTGTATATATTAAGCTTACCAAATTTTGATATGTTGGATTTAATGAACTTTTAAGTATTAAATAAGATGTAATTAAATATAAATTATTGTCCTATTTCTATTGATTGTAAAATAAAAATTTAGTTTATTAAAATATTTGTGCCCACCCTAGCATGACTTTTTGGCTCCGTCCCTGCATCCAGTAGATCATGGTTATCGGATTGTATTATGGGTCTTCATTGTTTTTGTAATCTTTTGTTCAAACATGAATGTGAAGAACAAGATGAATACTTCGTCACACTCACAGCAATTGTGGGTGTGGGTTCAGTGATCCAAGACGGGTTGGATTTGTGAATCAGATCACTTAAATATTTGATCCCAAATTGTAATACAAACTCCAAATTGATTTGTTTTGTAGATCTAATGTAAAATAAATATTAATTTTCTATGTGTATAAGAATGTATAATTATATAATAACTTTAGATAATTGGATTAGGAAGAGCATAAAGATAAAATAAATAGTAAGTGACTGTGTTTATTGATGTATTTTTATGCATAATTTCATATAGTAGTGAAAGCAATTTACATAAGGGTTCCAAAATGAATTGCAACCCAAAACACCGTACCAGTTAAACATACTTTTATTGCACCGCGTTCCTAAGAAAGTATTATACCATGTACCCGTTCGAACCCGTAATTGTACACGCCTCATAGCCGCACTTCGTACCAAATCGACCCACAATTTAAGTAACGTTGCTCACATCACCATGTTTAAGCTAACAGCTATACGCGAAAGTTGCACTATTACTAATGATGAACTGCAAGAGATCTTGTGAACATCCATGACCCATCTCTCTCTCTCTCTCAAACATTCACACTTGGACCGACACATGTGCATGCATGTAATTTGCACTTACTCCATCGCTACATGGGGACATTCTCACGCACTTCAGACTTGATAGTGAAGAAAATTTTCCATTGTTGTGTGAGAGTGCACATGATATATCAAGGCAGCTATAATTTGTCATATTTTGTCTCATCAAGATAGCTGTCTATAGCTTTTTTGTTTTATGTGAACCAGACCCTAGGACCAGGCAAATGAGAGACAGAAACAAGCACCTGATTTATATGTTTGTCCATCAAGGTGATGTATTGGATTGTAAATAAGGGAAAAAACACAAGGCAGAAAATGCATGAAGTTAAGCACAGAACCACACATTTAGATGTTTGATGGAAACATTATCAACTCGATTGACCCAGCAATCAAGGACTAGGACTCTTTTAACTCTCCACACCATGACATTCTAACTTGAAAAATCAAGGTTGTCGTTATGCTAGAAGAGGGTTCATTCAAACTTACCGTAAGGAAATAAAAAATGTCCATTTAGGGAAGCATGGTCCTATGAGGGTGAGGGAAAATAGAACCCTTGAACATAAATTAGTTGCGACAGTTTGGCACAAAGAGAGTATAATGTACCTTTTCAATTCCATATATATTTTCTTTGTTCGTTGGCAGTTAAATTATCCAGGAAAAGGTTCTAGGATGAAGCAATGAGTGCTTTCATCTATATATTGAAACATGTTTCTTCAGTTGTATTATCAATTCTAAGGCATCTTGATCCTTGAATGCAGTGCAAGGTATGCATGCAGACATTCATTTGCACCACGTCGGAGGTGAAGTGCAGGGAACATGCCGAAGCAAAACATCCCAAAGCCGAACTTGTTGCATGTTTTCCGCACCTTAAGAAGTGATATGACGCTGGCTGCGACACAACTTTAGGATATGTTGAAACTTCGTCTCTAATATGTGAACGTGTTTGAAGCTGTTCCAGTGTGGTGATATCTGAGAATGTTCCAATCTGCTGTTGCTTACTTGGCTTGAAACTGTTTGTGGAGTTATGTTCATTGTATTACCTTTCTCTTCGATCGAGTATTGCTTCCATCATATATGTTGGTCGTGTTATAGGTTCGATTGGTTAGAAAAAAAAAATGATAGAGTGAAAATGATAAAAAATAAAGTGAAAGAAAAGAAAATTATAGAAAATATATTTTCATGGATGTATTTGATTAGGATGAAAAAATTACAAGAAAGTCTAAAAAAAAATTTATTATATTGTTTGAAAGAAGATAAAATTATAATAAAATTTTTTTAATTGTCTAAATTATTTTTAATTTTATTAAATCGGCCTAAAGAAGAAAAAAATATGTATTATAAATTTATAATTAATAGTTAAAATTTTTTTTAAAAAGAGGCTTGTAACCTAGTTCTATAACAAGCATCTATACGAAAGTTTTTGGACTAAATTATATAGTTAATGAAATTTAAATCAATATTTTTTAAAATTAATAACTAATAAAATATTTTAAGTAAAACAAGGGTAAAATGAGAAGTTAGACATAAGTCATAACTTTCTTGTATTTTTTTGTGTATTTTACAAGAAAAAAAAATTGGTTAGTTGTGAAAAAATTTAAACATGAAAAAAAATTATTTTTTTCATCATTTTCTATTTCATGCTAACAAAACACATAAAACATTTAAAAAATTTAGTTCTCTTTTATTTTCTTTCATTCTTTCACTAAACAAGAACTTATATAGTCTCGTGGTTTTTTGTATTGTAGTCCGAATAGCTTTTTGTATGTTGGTGTTCTATAGATTACCGACACAAGGCCTCCCTCGTGATTAAACTCAAATTACATACATTAGGATGAGTCCCTTTCTGATAAACAGATTAATTTTACAACTTCGTTGTTATAGATAGGTCTTGATTTATATAATATTTAAATTCTTGATTTATATAATATTTAAATTCTTGATTTATATAATATTTAAATTTTTGACGATGTTATACAGTGGTTCTCATCCTTCATAGATTGTGAGTGTAATAGAAGCATTTGTCAACAAAAGGATTACTTTAAGATGATCATCTCATGACTATTAAGAACGAATCAAATCTGCTAATTTTATTTCTCAATTTTTATGTCTGGCTCTTATGGGACTAAGGTCGAAAAGATTAAAAAAATAATTCATTGATAACTATTAATAAAGAATTTCTTGAAAAGTGAAGGATTAGTAATTTTTTCAGAAATCTAATGGATTCAATTTTATAGGATGTGTGGGGTGATTTTCGCACAATAGTTGAAATGAGAATAGATCTCTCTCGTAGTGAACTCAAGTCCGTTGAGATAGTTGATTCGGCAACAAGGAAAGAGTTGAGAGGGCCAAAAGAGGTCTAAGGGGTTGTGATGAATTATCTCAGGGGGTGCCTGACCAATTTCAATGGACTGTAGGAGGTTCCTGTAACACAACAAGTAAGTTAGAAGGGCGCAAGAGTGTTTTTCGACGTATCCCCTCCAACGATCAAGTCAGTTCTTTAAGAAAAGGAAAGAGGAAAACACTGTGTATGACTCTTGTAAGATGATTTTGCATATATTTGCAATGTGTTTTTGATGGTTATTTATACCTTCAAAGACTAATAATTGCTGACAGTCTAGTCAGTAGGTAGTGTCTAGAAACGAGTTAGTGTGCCCTCTATTTTGCGTGGAGAATGTTCCAGTATTGATTGCTCGGATTCCCGAGCAGTGAATGCTCTTTCTTCGATGTAAAGACTTTAAATGCAGGGCCTCAGGGCATTTAATACTCTCTATCCTCGGCTTCTCAAGCCACTGTAGATGTCACATCATTTAGAAATTCATTAAATGCTTGCCTGGAACAGCCGCTTATCAGCAGGGGTAGATCGGTCTTCTTACCCTTCGTCTTGTACCTTACGCCATGCGTCTGGTTCTCTCTGGTTGAGTTTCCAGTCTACCCTGTCATTCTGACTCTATTGTGCAGAGCGCCCTCCTGACTCCTTGTCTAGGTTAAACTGTTCAGCTATCAATCAGCACCCTCCCTAGAAGTTGAAGAATTGGGGTAGGCGCGATGGGAGTACCCTCGGGGCTGAGGACACCTATTTCCCCCCGGGTGGAAGGGCATATGCTTAGGCACCGAGGAACATGTCTACAGTGCAAGGGGGTCTCGGTGCCGAGGGCACGCGGCTTCGACAGAACAAAGAGGTAGCTCGACGCCGAGGACACGTGGATTCGTCAGAGGCAAATATGTTCCTTAGCGTTGAGGACATGCGTCGTAAATCCAATAGCCTCCTAGAAGTGTCCCATCAACTGCCCCAGCCCTTTGATCTTCGTACGAAAAAGACAAGCGTCATTTGGAAGGTGAAAGGGCTCAATTGCCCCATTATTACTCTAGCCGTTTTTGCCCTTTGGAGATAGTGCACATTAAATGAGCTTGTCATTGTGTTTCATGCACAATAATGGGGGGCAAGACCTATATAAACAGAGCTTCCCCCCCTCCATTCTTTATTTTTCGAAATCTTGAGTCTTCTTCAGAGATCTTTTCGCCAAAGAAACATCGGAGCCTTGCTGCCTGGAGAACCACAACCCATTTTTCTGCCATTATCGAAAAAGAAAAAGCATTTCCAAGTTTCCTCAATTCCTCAGTTCACCTTCCTAGTAGTTTCCGGTGAGTCTTCATTCCTTTTTTTCTCCTTTTTTGGTTTTTTCCAGTGATTGGCCACCTTCCAGGTCCCCATCATCTTAGTTCTGAGAAACCAGGCCCCAGGATAGTCCCTTAGACTTTTTCTTTCATTGCTTTGTATTTTCTAGCATCCCTTAGGATTCCTTTTTTAAAGAAAGAACCCTTTGAACTTCACCTCCTTTCTGTCTGAGACGTCGAGAGTCTAAGATGTCAACCTGTGGTTGAGGTCCAAGAGGCTGGGACCTCAAGGCTGAGGAAATGGACAGTTAAGGGCTCCCAACAAATAACAAACTTCAAAGCCCATTATGACATCCCCCGTAATGTTGTCGTTGATGATTTTGACCCAGCTCGCCATCGTCTAGACGTCGGCGTCGAGGACGCTTTGCCTTTCTATACCAAGGCAATTATGGAGGGAGGGATTAGATTTCCCCTCCATCCATTGCTCCTTCAGTTCCTTTCTAGGTTCCGCCTCTTTTCAGGGCAGTGTGCCCTCAACACTTTTAAAATAATCATGGGAGTAGTGGAACTCAATAGGCGCCTCGGGGTCAACTTAGGCCTCGAGGATATCCTCTTCTGCTACTCCTTGATGGGAGTGACGCCCAGGGAGCCTTTTACCTCAAAGCCTAGGACACCTCAACATACCACGTCACTCACCTCCTTGATTCCGACAAGGGGTACAAGGATGACCTACTAGTCTTCAATAGAGCCTGGGAGAGGGGAGTCAGCCCCGAATATGACAGTCTGTCCTGCCCCAGGGAGTGGCGAAGAACAAGTACACCGGGTTCCCCTTCCTTTCTCAGTTTCCTTTTTGATGTTTAGGTAACAAAGTGTTGACAATCTTCTTTCTTTTGTGCAGACGTTTCCTCTCAAGAGGCTGCTCCATTTTCTCGGCACCTTGTTAACTTTGCCGACATAGTAACCGTCTGGGGGTACATCGGCGACGAATTTGGCCGGGCAGAACACGTGCTCTTGGACTACGTTCCCAATTACAAGAAATTTTCTCAACTTCCTCAACCTTACGATCCCTCCAGGTGGTCCGAACTCTTTGAGTAGACAGCGAAGCAGGACTTCAAACAAAATTTGGAAGAGGACCCTAACAGGGCCACAAAGGCCAAGGTAGAGGGGGTAGCAGAAGAAGCGGCTGCTGAAGTTAGAGAACCATCCACCACAACTCACCCTGAGACCAGCACGGCCGGAAGGGAAGTTTGGCTGGACTTCAATATTTTACAAAGTGTGGACCAGGAAGACGTACTCGAGGCCATGATGTCGCGTCAACCTCACATCGACCTAAATTTTTTGAACCGGAGGTCTGCTCTATGGAGCAGGGGATCTGGGTCTTCAAGTAACGTTCCCCTTCCCCCTCCAAGAGCCAGCACCAACGTTCCCCCTCATCCTCCAACATCCTCTGGTCAGGGTTTGGTCCGTGATCGGGACCACCTGATCGAAGAGGAGAAGAGGACCAAACAAAGACATGATGGAGTAGGCCAAGGCAGGGGCCTCCCATTACAACAACATCAACCACAATAACAACAGAAGCAACAGGGGCAAACTCCCCCTCCTTTTCCAGCGCCGACATCATTGGTTGAGAAGTGGCGCATCCAGGCCCGGGATCGAATGAATAAGGCAATCCGGGTTAATGATTCCATTGTCAGCGATCCTCACGTGGCCTATGCCGTGAGCAAAACGCTCCATTTTGGTGCTGATATGGAGGAACACTAGGAGCATTCGATCGACCAGTTGTTCCATTTAATCATGCAGCACTCCCTGGTGGTAAGATTTAATTCTCTTAACTTTTTGTCAACTCTCTTTCCTCGGCGTAACTGTTTATCCTTCCCTTCAATAGGCTACCCAATAAGTGTTGGTCATTGTTGTTCGTTACCATGAGCAGAGATAGAATCTTTAGCAGGCTGAGAAAGGGAAGATCGAGGCCAAAACAGCCCTTGCAGGGGGCCAGGGAGGAGGTGGTCGCCCGGGATAATACGCTGTCAGCCCAGGCGGCCCAAATCGAGCAGTTGCTGAAGGATGGTGAGACAGCGAGGGTGGGCGCTGAAAAGTTAAGTGCAGCCCTCGCCGACGCTGAGAGGAAAATAACTAAGGCGATATAACAACTCTCTGCTGCGGAGGCAAAGGTAGAGGAGTCGGAGCAGACTTGCGCCACTCTAGCTCAGGAGTGGATAGGGTTAGGGACGAGGCAGAGGTGGCCAAGAAGTTCAAGGAGCAAATACGAGATGAATGTGCTGATGATGTCCTCGACGCCCTTAAGGAGAACAAGAAAGAATTCTTTAAGATAGGCTGGGACGAGGCACTCCGAGAGGCGGGGGTTCCTCCTGAATCCCCATTGTTTCTGATGCACGAGTACGTGCCCTCGGAGGAGATGTTGTGGGCCGCAGTCGAGGTTGCTGCTGAAGAGGCAGTCGACAATCAGGCGCAAGTTCCTGTGACTTCTGTTGTTCCGCAAGAGGTCAACCCTCCAACTCCTACCTCATCTGTTCTTGCTCCTGTTACCGGCGCTCCCAACGTCGACTCCCACAATATTGAGGAGCTTTTTGGGGATGCAGCTGGAGAAGTCGTTGGTGAA